AATACTTATAAGTTATAACGCATAGACTACTCACGTCTCACACTAAATTCGATTTTTATGTATCGAAATACTTAGAAAAATATTCTAGTTTGGAATATGAAATTTAAACTATATGTCGTCAAAAATAAAATAAAAAAATTAGAAGGATAATTTTTTAATAACAAAGTTGTTTTGTAAGCGACTCGAAACTATGTAAAAAATATTTTCAAAAACAATTACACTTTTTGAAATAATGAGTGTTCAATTTTAAATAAATCGCCCAGTCGTATAGTCTCTCGGGTAAACACAAACGTTAACGAAACTATAAAATTGCTATACCTACGTTTCGTCATGTCTTCATAAGGTACCAACCCACCCACGTATAGGAAAATCTCAGGTAGGGCTATAGCCCAATCAGCCCTACCCGTGCGCAAGCCTATATGTTACTGATTAGGTAATAGTTATACAATTTTTATGTTGCTTACCTTGTAAATTGGATGGGAAAAAGTATTTTTATTGTTTTGAAAATGTAATGAATGTTTTTCCATGTTTAAAGAAAAAACAGGTCTCACAATTTAAAAATTTGTTGTGCACCCTAGGCCACCAAAGTCTGAACACGCCTATGGATCGTAGTAGTTTTACCAGTCCATAAAAAGCCCTATTACCCGAAAGTATCCTTGCTGAAATTTCCTTGGCTATCTCATTCTTTTCAGTTATAACTGACCCTAAGTATTTAAACTGCTTGACTTTATTGAAAACATAGTTTCCTACATTCAAGGATGGGTACAATGGTATATACCCGCAGTTTCTCGTCTGCCAACAATCATGTACCTACTGTGTTTTGGGTTCGTTTATCTAAAGTCCCACTTTTAAAGCCATTCTTAGTAGATGGTAATAACTATTAAGCTATTATAGTATAATTATTGTATCAAAGTTATAATATGTTGGCTATCTTATAACTCAAGTCACAGGCAGGTATAGGTATACTTCCTCATAATAAAATATTTACCTACAAATATAACATATAATATAAGAGTAGGTAGGTAGGTAAGACAGGTACCTAGGTATGTCATATTTTCCTGTAGGTAGCATACACGAGAACTAAACAACAATGAATGTTTTTATACAATTTATCATGTTATATTTAATTAATCTAATTTAATATCTACCGTATTTAAATAATTATATACTTGCGAGGGGAGTGAGAGCCTTTTTTAATTTATTTAATTTAAGGGACATCTTAAAACTTCCCAGTAGCCAATAGGCCTAAAATGGCCTATCCCATGTATATGACTATAAATAATAATTTTATCAATTAAAATGTTATTAATTTAATTTACAAGACTCACAAAGTGTATTATACAATTTACAATTGAATATTTGAATGTATGAATATTAATGATAAACATTATTCATTAAATAGTTTATATTTAAAATTTTAACAGTAGGTAGGTACCTACAATTGTATATAGATGGGTACCTACATATTTTATTGTTACAGAAACCAAAAGCAAACCACAAAATTTAGTTTTTATTGTTTTAACTTGTTTTTAGGAAAAGTACAGTTAAAATGTTTAAGCAAAGACCTATTTGTAACCAAATCTTGAAATGTTTGGGTAAATGTATTAAAAGTGTAAGTAGGTAGGTAGTTATTTTACTGTAGAACTAATGCCTAATCAACTATAATCATGTTTTAATTAACACCAAGCTCATATATTTGCTCCAAATTCTTATTCGACTGTTCACAGGGTGCCCAGTTGCTCTAGTTAAAATGTATACCACCCGAGCGCATATCTGATCTGAGCAAATCCCAATAGTAAGGTTAAATCAACCTAACCTTCTTTGGATGTTAATCAAAATTTGTTTACAGTTAACCTTAACATACAATTACTCATATAGGTACTGAACAGTAACACTGTCTAGCCACATCGTAATAAATATTAATATTTTAGATTATTATTATTGTTCCTGATGGATGATATTATTATTACTTTAAAAATTAAACTGTATATGACAATTTAATAATATTGAATTTGCATCGATTTTACATTTTTTTTCTGTGAATACCTTCCCCACATGCAAGTAACTTGCAGAATGTTAGTAACTCGAGCTAAAACCTATAGGCTATAACGCTTTGCCCTCGTGGCTCATGTGATGTCTTCACTCCAAACTAATGACCCATAATATTATCTTAAATTCTATTTTGCCTACACACCTACTTATGGTGAGGTACGAATGTACGATGGCATTCAATTAAACTTAACACGTAACACTAATAGTAAACCAGATATTGTTTGCATTTAATTCATAATATTGTTTTAAAAATTATTAAGTATTTTCATATTGAAAATTACTGCAGTGACATATACAGTTATAATGAGACAAATCGTTCTATTTAAGAGAGAATACTGGACGGTGTCAATCGAGTGAAAATATTAGTTATGTACATTTTAGTAAAATCTATTATTGATAATTTGTAATCGAATTTTATACAGTTAAAATATAAGTAAGACATACCTATTTAACAGGAAAATATTTTGACAATAAATAATAATACCTTATAACAATGTGTGTTTTCTTTGTTAGTTTTACGGGACGAAAACTGGTCTGTAGGTAATTTTGATGGTTTTATCAGCTATTATGTATCATGTATGTAGGTACAGTGAATAATTCAGGATACGACCGTCCATTAGGCACATACTAATATACTATACTTATCTATATATTATATTCCCATTACATATTATATGAAAAAAAATAACATTTCATGTGTTTTTATCGGAGAATGAGTTTTCAATCGTTGAATTGTCATTCCATGTATATAGATAAAATATAGTCATTAACCATAAGAAAATAACAAAAACGACTGGGTGTGGTTTCAACCGGGAAGCGTTGACAAAGAATAAAATAAATGACATTGATAAAAATCGTTCAGTTAAAAGCCAAGAACTATATAGGTGATATATATACTAAATGTATTGTTATTTATAAATCGTATAATTACAGGTCCGTCGCGTCGTCCACACGCATATAGGTACCTAAGTATATATTATATTATTATCCAAACTCGACGACTGAAACATAGTTTGTAGCTTATACTTTACAGTAAAATCACGATTGGATTACATTCGTTAAGTACCTTCCTACGTACTAAACGTCTAATATTAAGGGGTCCGTGAGTCCGTGATGTCATAAAAAGTGTATCTCGTTAGTCATAAGTTCAGGGTGTCAGGTGTGTAAACAAAGAGTGGTTCTTTTAACAGTAAACAATCAATATATCGAAAAATATTAACATTTTAGAAAATACTTTATTTACAGAATTTGAATAAAATATCATCGCTAAAAAAACTTTTTTCGTAAACTTTCGTGTGAAAAATAAGTGTGCTGCTATCACCTTAAGAAAACGTAAGACTAGCATATCAATTTAGGTACTCTAAACTTATTCTTGTATATTGTGGTTTTTAAATTATTAAGAGGACGCTATACGGCCATTTCTTCTCTTGATCATACTGTAAGTGCGGAACATAGCAAAATTTACGCTCAGCAAATCACGTTTAGCTTCGTTAGCTTACAAATTAGAGTGAATGGGCCTATTATGAAAATTTATTGTAAGATATTATCTGTGTTTGTGTGTGGATTACAGGCGCGGATCTAGAGCATAATTATGGGGGGGGGGGGGTATATACAATATATAGTATTGTACATACTATATAAGCTAATAGGCAAATATTATTATTTAAATTTAAATTTGATTAGATTAGATTAGCTTTTTGACGGCGACCGGTAAAAACGGACACGGCCGAAACAATACATTTTATCGGCTGCCGAAAATAGATATAATAGAAAATCCACCAGTCTACGGGGGGGGGGCATGGCCCCTTGCCCCCCCCCCTTGGATCCGCGCCTGGTGGACTATTTATAACCCGGGAGAGTTTACCACAGCCCGTACACGTCGCAGTATTCAGTTTAATCCATCTGCACCGCGACCGACACTCTCGTCCACCGGGGACGAACCGACCAGCTTCATCTTCCTTTGCCGGGAACGGACCTTTGCGGGGCGTTCCCCAATCCGTAACCCGGGGACGCGTACTATTCCGAGTGTCCTGGGCCGTTCAACACACAGCTAGGCCGGCTGTGGTTTCGCTAGTATATAATCGATAGCAGTACTGACAAAAATTTTATAAAAATACATTTCAAAATATATTAAATTGTTTGCATCATATTTATTTTGTTTAAATATTTATTATACATAGGTATGATTCTAGTTACTACATAAACTTATAGCCTAAAATTATTTTTAAATTCAAACATAAGTAAACAATAGTATTGTCTTAATTCTAAAAGTCGTATTAAACAAAAAAATTAAGTAAAACAATGATAAATCATAAATGTATCAAATACAGAATCGTGTATTTATTAACTGTATATAAATTAATTATTTACATAAATACATATATCTATCACAAAAAATTAAACATTTTATATACATACAAGCTTAGGAAAAAAAATTATTAGCTAGGTACCTTATAATAAAGGTACTTTATAAATAACAGTCTCTTTTGGATTCTCATATTTTTTACGAATTCTATTAATTATTAATTTAACATTAATATAAAAACATTTGTAAGGGTGGCACACAGCACATAAAAAAAGTTATTTTACAGTATGAATCCTTCCAAATGGTATTTAGTAATTCAAAATTTTTCAGTTTGTGTTGTAATTTTGTAAATATTAAAAATGCTTAATTATGTCCATACCTATATCATGCACATGTTTTTAAATGTAAAAAAAGACTTGAATATTGCGAAAAATGTGTAACTACTAACTGGTGGATAAAAAAAAATATATACTAAATGTTTGAGTCAAAACATTTTTATGCTCCATGAAAGTAATATAAGTAATACAACTCTGATAAAAACATTATATTTAATTCGATTGTAATAAATATTAAATGTATAGGGGATAAAAAATATAATATTTCAAGTTTAATTTCAATAAATAATATTATAATAGACTTTTTTTTAGAAAATACGATCTGGATAGCCCGTGGTTGAAACACCATTGTTTATAGATTTTTGGGCTGCCTGTTTGACGATTGGTCGATTTTTGTGAACACGTTGAGTGATACTGCACTCATAATTGGATGTTAGAAATTTTGACATTTTGACTTTAGTTGGCATGGGATCTGTCCAGAAAAAGTCATGGTCTAAAGCTGTGTTGGCATCACATCTCTTTTCCGGATCTAGATAAAGTAATTTTTCAAGAAGATCGCATGCTTGCACGTCCGAAATACGATCCGTAACGATCTTCCATTCCTGTGAATGAATGTTAAATAATTTAAGTCTAAGAAACAAAGTTTGAATAGTTTAAAATTTTACCCTTCCATCATTATTTTTTGGTAGTTCCATATTTTTATATAAATCGTAGTTCACAACCTTCGGCCAAACTTCTGGGGTTATTTTCCCACGTATAAATGATATACATTTTAATTGATGTGCCTCCGAAGTACCCCTCATTATTGGATAATAAGTAAACAATTCAGCAATAATGCAGCCAGCTCCCCAAATATCTATAGCCGGTCCGTAATTACGTTCACCAAGCAGCAACTCAGGAGCGCGATACCAGAGTGTTACTACACAATTAGTAAATCTGAATGGAAATAATAATGGTAGATTGAACATATTATAATGAGTATTAATTGGGAATTAATAATTACCTAAATCATTATTTAAGATTTATCTTTAAATAAAAATAATGTATAACTATATACTATTATTCTATTAGAAATATAAGTAAATTATTATCAAATATTGCATGAATGATTTTGTACTTACTTATTGGGCTTATCTTTTGTCGGTATAGTAAATGAACGGGATAGACCAAAGTCTGCTATTTTCAGAATTCCTTCTTTTGTAACCAATATATTTGATGTTTTCATGTCACGGTGTATAATCTATTTAGGCAGATACACATAATTAGTTTATTTTTACGTAGATTTATATAATTTTCATTATGTGGAGAATATATTCACCTTATTTGTGTGCATGTAGAACAGACCATTGAGCAATTGACGAGTAAGTTCTTTAATCTCGGATAATTCAAATTTTGCATTTTTAATACCAAGTAACCTAGCTAGTTCATATTCACAGAATTCAAGTACCAAATGAAATGTTGTTCGATAATTATTTGCTTTTTTCCCTATAAAACATATTTTGAATTATACTAATTCCATAGAGTACTTATAAAATTATATCACTCTCAAATAAAATGTATACCTTCAGTATAACAAATTTCAATCAATCTGACGATATTTTCATGTCTTAATTTTTGTAATATTTGAACTTCTCTTAAAGCAGTGATCGGAAACTGAAGTTAAAAAAATATAACACTCATAATTAATATAACAGAATAGTCAATATGTATCACTAAAAAATTTACCAATTAAAAATGTATCAATTTTTTGGTTTATTTAGAATCTACATTGTATTTATTTATTTGACAATTAATAATATATTTTTAATAAACTGTTGAAAATAAAAGACTACGGTATTTATTGAAAATAAAAATGTTATTCATTAAAATATATATTCAACAGCCTATTACTTTAGGAGCTATTACTTACAGACAAACTTATGTGTACCTAATTAATTATCTATTATATTTGTTTTTATTACCTATCTATAGAGTATAGGTGATTATAATACATAAACATATTATAATGTAATTGTATTAGGTACTGTATTTCAATATAATATGGTTTATTGACAGTGGCGTATTTTAAATTTTTTGCTGTTGGTGGGGGGGAGGGGTTCCAATAATTCCGACATAATATAGGTATACTCTATCCAGAATAAGGCGACCACGGGAAAAACCTGTTTTGCTATGAAAATCTGTTGCGTTCTTATTCTGGAATCTGGATAATGTATAGGTACTGATACAAAGAAATATTTTTTAAGCATAGAAAATTGTTGTTTTATAATATTTTAAATTGCATGGGCTAATTTTAACACAGGTAAAAATGGTCCTAAATGAACACTAATTGTCTGCCAGTTGACGACGCAAATTACATTAATGTTTTATGTTATTATTAAAAATAATATATTCCTTACGGTTCACATCAGATCAATGAGCTATTATTATTATTTACTAATTTATTATATATTTATTTTTTACTTATATAGTTACATACGTAATAGATATTATCTATTTTATTGAAGAAATATTATGAACTGTACTTGTAGCCGCCACCGTCGTTCGGTAACAAAATACAAACATGAAGTAAATGATTTTACAACTTACTATTGTCTTGTTTACAAAGCAAAAATTCAAATAGATTAATAATAGTTACCTATAGAAATAGTTTATTGGAGAATGGTGTGCGTCATCAATTTATTGAGATAAGAATATTTGTTTGACCCCCTTCATCTTCATTTTGCTATTATTTTAGAAAATAAGTACATGTATCTAGACACTAAATCGTGTTTAGTATTTACTATATTATAGTAGGTAGTTTTCAGTTTTGTAAATAAAGTAAAAAAAAAATGAGTCAAAAGATAATTGATAGGCTGTTATTACTCCATTGAAACTCCACAAAATCAGCTTTCTTATTTGTTTGAAAAAACAACATTCATATTTTCTTTATATTTTTTTATTTTTGTATTATTACTTTTTTATTTTTTATTTTAAGAAGTATATTTACAATCTATACAACAGACAAGGTATAACGAGTAAGTGTGGTGACATACGAACATTAGACATGAAATAACATTAATAGGAAGGCTCCCAGCGGTGCCAAATGACCATTTTATAACTTGTAAGTGAAAACTATGAATGTATAAGTACTTAAGTCTGAAATTAGTATTTTGAATTTATCAAATGAACAATAATAATTTATATTGTTAGATGTTCTAATTATCAATTAATGATTATTATAGTAAAATATAAAATGTTTATACTTTATGATACTATTATTTTTGTACTAATTAAATGTATTATTGAATAAGTGGACATTGGTGGTGACAGTAGGATGATAATTAATAAAGAGCCTACACTCCAAGAATATTATTAGAATGTAAATTAAAAATTGAAATTTATTATAGATTTAATTAATAATAATCAATGTGTTATTCTTATTCACTAAAAGTAATGACTAATTGGTATTCAATGTAGAATTTGTGGTGTTGAAAGTGTAAACTGTACAGCCTTTAGTGAGCAAATTTTTGAAACCTTTAAATGAAGTGTGGCCCCACTTTTACGTAAGTTATTAAATGGCTCATCCCATCCCTATAAAAATTTTTAAATACGCCTCTGGTACCTATAATATTTATAATAATGTATTTAAATTATTTAATATTATTCTTAACTATGTGGCAAAACGTATACATATTATCAAATTTATTTTCCCTTTGTAGCTATATTGCTATAATGCTATATAAGTATGAAGTACTAAGATACCTATATAATATTAACAAATATTTAAGATATTTCGGTTGAAATATGTGTAGGAATAAAATTTTATATGATAAAATAAAATATATACCAAGTGAAAAATGACAATGTCACGAAATTACGAAAATAACAATTTATGACTCATTACCTATAGGATATAGCCCATAGGTGCATTGTACAAGGTACGTACTATCATTTTATTGAGTACCTAGGTAGACAAAATTATTTTTATATATGATTATATTAAAATTGTTATAACAAGCAAAATAAAAAATAAATCGGGGTCTGCGGAAGACTATTTGACACTTGCAGTTATTTGTATATTATTACCTATTTTGTTGTATCGATAATCAGTGTTGAGCATTATCTAGATAAAATAAATAGGTACACAGTATCTTTTTATCTTAACTAGATAAATAAAACTGCTATCTGATTATCTGCAGATAATTAAATAGTATTTTTATTAATTTCACTTGATTTTTTCCATTTTTCTATAACTTTTAATAAGTAGGTACTAATTTGAAATTTAAAACATTGCGAAATATGCCACAATTAGTTCACAAGGCATCATCCGAACTGAGTATGAATTTTGAATGTTAGTATATTTAAAACCAAACAAAATAAATGGTCAATATTTTTTAGATTTAATTATCTGAATTGGTAATAATGTTTTTTTTTGCAATAAATCAATTTTTATCAAAATAAAGTCATTATTTCATTAAACTATAAAATTAAGTGTACAGATAATTTAAAATTCCCAATATATTAATATGTGTAGGTAAGTTTATTATATTTTTTTAGAATCCACAACTTTGAATTTTGGTAAAGTATAACTGCTATTGTACCTAATTTGTATTGGTAGGTAGGTACCTAGGTAGCGAAAATGATTTTGTATTATTATAGTTAGGTACAAATTACATACTTATACTAAGAAATACAAAAAGACATTAACTTACTCCTTCTGTTCTATTGAGATAAATAATTTCTTTGACAGCAACTATATCTTGATTAAGTATATTATATGCTTTTCTCACTATACTGAAAATAATATGTAATATTATACACTCAAGCATTCCAATATTTTCTTAAATTAATATATAGGTACTAAGTAGGTAGGTATTATAAAAAAACTTAAAATACAATTTTAATACGCCCAATTAGTTGACAGTAAATTTAATAATGTAGGTAGTAAATATATCTGTGTAAATAACATAGGTAACAATTATTATTAATACTAATAAGGTAATATACTAAATTACTAAACTGATTTTGTCGATCTTGATATTAACCAATTAATATGTATACAATTTAGATTCATATATTATAATATTCTAGTTTAGCATGTAGTCTATTTTTGTCTATTGTTTTATTAGAACTTTAAGTGCAGGTATAGAAGTGTAAGTAAGGATATTGTAATTCTAGTTTCGTATTTATTGCCCCCCCCCCCAAAAAAAAAAACATTTGAAAATGACAAATTTTAAACATATCAGTAATATAATAATTTTAGTTTTTTTACTCTATAAACTATAATGAAAAATAAATATATACATATATATATATATATATATAAATAAATACTAATAACGCTAATAATTTTAGTAATTAATAGGTTTTAGTAGTTTATTCTCAGAAATTACTACATCCAGCACTGAAGATTCTTATAAATTAATTCATCATTATGGTATTGATTTAATTCATCATAATAAAGACATTCTAATTTCGGAGTTTAAACTTTGGATTAGAAAAATTAATTCACTGCCTACAAAAACTAAAAACTCCATGGAAGCTCTGTCAATATGTACTGATATGTATCCAAATATTTTCAAGCTTTTACAAATTCTGGCCACATTACCTGTTTCGACTGCAACAGCCCAGAGATCTTTCTCGACATTAATACGAATAAAAACATACACAAGGAACTCAATATCTGAGGTAAATATTTGTCAATAACTCAAAGAATATAATACTTAATTAAACGTGTATTTGTTTTAGAAAAGACTTAATGGCGTTGCCATGTTATCGATTCATCGAGATTTAGATTGTCAGACCGATGAAGTTATTGATGAACTGGCAAATAAAAAAAAAAAATAGATTTTGTAGTACAATTTGTGATTCTGTAATAGTTTAATTTGTTTTCAATAAGTTTATAAAAACCTGATAATAAGTTAATAAAGAACATTTTATCCTAATTTATAAAATTATTTTACTAATATGATAAACACCCCCCCCCCCCAAAAAAAAAAAAAAATAATAAGTTTGTAAATACGCCACTGTGTAATTCACAATATAATATATTAAATTTAATGTAATATTATTATTATACCAATCAAATATGACACACACAAAATTTCAAAATTTATTTTATTGATGAAAGTATGTTTAGAATTTTAGATTGTACCTATTGATTTACAATGCTGAGTGTTATTTTAGTTTATTTTTTTATTTTTGTGTCTTTCATCATCGTCTCGGGCAGTGAAACTGCTTCAATTTTTTTCAACAGTAGGTACCTACCTATTTTGTTTGATGGGAAAGTAAATGTAGTTGGTGCCTTCGGGAGGTTAAAATTCCCAATAGTTTTCAAAATCGACGTTAAAAACAAAACCAAAATTAAGGAAAAACGTACATTTTCACTGGTTGTTCATATTTGCATTTTCTATACACGATAAAATTTTCAAAATATTTTGATTTGTTTTTAACTGTTTACGGACATTTTTAGTTTTTTTTTTCTATGGATGTCAATAAAATTATTGTATGTGTTGGCTAAAAAAGCTTGAACATTTTATAAGAGGCTTCTAATATATTGTTATATTGGCGTTTGAAAAATATTGAAAATCGTTAGTCATAATTTTTTTTATAATCATTTATTCATTTATAGTTTAATTCTTGACAAAAAACTGCAAAATCACGAAAATTATCAAAAATATTTTGTGTTGAGAATTTAAAAAGTTCTTTCTTTTTAAATTTAGGATTTCAAAATGTAATAAAAGATTCTTCATAAGTTTGTATACCTTTATAACCAAAAAAAATGTCTACAAGAAATTCAAATTACATTTTTATGATTGTTTATGGTTCATATTTTTGCAACAAGCCTAATCATCAGAGCGTAATTTGTATACATTTTAATGATTGATCTTATTATTTATTTGAAGCATCAACTTAATAGTTTTACAATATCGTAAACCCTGCAACGGTTAGCATAGGAGTCAATAGGTGACATTGATGTTTGACACTATAGGTGTAGCCGTGTAGGTATGCCGCTTAACCACGAGCAGTCGCTATTGTTGAACCTAACCTTTACTGGTGGTACATAATTGGAAATGCACCCCATCAACCGGTCACCACATTGTGTGTTCTCTTTTGTAAGTATTTTATTGTACCATAATAGGTTTATAATATATGACATGAGCACCATTTCACCCAGAATCGAATAGTTGTGCTGAATCAGCAGTTAAAATAATAAATATTTATTTTTTAAATGTTCAACAGCACAATCTCAATCAAATAAATTTCTTTTGATGTATAGTAGTACACTTCTTTGAAAGAAGATCAGTAAGGGCATTCGACTGGTTTACAATTTGATACATTACTGCCAAATACAAATGAACAATTGAACGAAAAATACAGTAAATAAACGATGGTGGTAATTAGACAATATTTTTTGATGTAGGTGATAAAATCTTTGACAAAGTTTATTGAAATACCAATAATAAATGGACAATACATACTATATACTTATCTATGGTATTAAAAACAATGACCTATAATAGGCACCTATAATGAATTCCAAATTAATCATATCACAATATCCATTATTTACTTATAACGCGTTATACATCAACAACAAACCGTGGTACTATCATAGATAATATATAATAGTGTACTTTAGAAGTTTCACGTACAAACGAATAATATTAAACAATTATAACAAAATAACTAAAATAGTTATCCTAGGTTTTTTAATATGTAATTTCGTCCAAATTTGAACTTAAAATGACTATAAAAAGAAACTGTGTTTATGTATTTTTTAGATTTTTCAACTGCTATTGTACCAATATATCAGGAGCCTTGTATTATATTTTAAACTTTAATAAAAGTTTATTGATATTCATAGAAAAAAAAATTGACAATTAACAACTCAAAACAAGTCAAAGTATTTTGAAAATTCTATCAAGTATAAGAATTGATAAAATAAAGGAAATCGCTAAATGAGAAATCGAGTGAATATCCAATGTTGTAAAAATTTAAATTTCAAACGGATAAAAATTTAATTTGACTTTCTTATAGACATTTTTTTTTAAATAAAAGTAGATAATCTTATAAGGAATCTTGTATTATATTTTCAAATCTTAGATTTCAAAATAAAAATTTTTATGGATTCTTAACTCAAAATAATTAGCTAATATTCGTGATTTTTCCATATTTTGTCAATTTTTGAACTTTAAATGCTTATAAAAAGAAAAAAACTGTTACTAAGGATTTTTAATATTTTTCAAATGTCATTGTAACAATATATTAGGAGCCTTGTATTTAATTTTCAAGTATTTTTACTCAACAAATAAAGTTTTATTGACATTCATAGAAAAAAAACTAATAAAATTGGAAACTGAAAATGTCCATATACAGTTCAAAACAAATCAAAATATTTTAAAAATGTTATCGAGTATATAAAATGTAAATATAAACAACCAGTTTTCATGTATATCTACTTTCATTTGTATTAAAGTTACACTAAATATTATCATAGTCGATTTTTTGATAAATTCTGGTTTTTTCTTAATTTTTAATTTGTTTTTCAGGGCTATTTCGATCTCCCCAATGCACCAACAATATTCACTTTCCCATCGAACAAAATACTGAAGTTGAAAATCGAAGCATTATTTTGACTACTTATAGTGTACACGACACAAAAAAAAATTAAAAATTAAAAACACAAACATCATTGTAAAATCAATACATTCATCGTTCCACTCAGAATCTAAAAATCATTAATATCAGATAATATATATATATATATATATAACCTATCAGATTTAATTAAAAATGTATTCAACAGGTAGGTAGATATTTAATAACTAGATACCTACGCGTTTGGGCAATTGGGTTTGATCAATTGTACTCGCCTATCATATTTTATTAGAACAAAAACAAATTAAATTATATTTACCCGTAAGTTCCTCGTCCGATTATTGACATGAATTTGTATTTTTTGTCAATATTCTTGTCCCAGAACTCATTCTGGTTTTCTTTTTCTTCCATATATTTTTTCATTAGTACAGAGTTTCGGTGTGGGGTAACTTGCTCAGGTGACAACGGCAGCTCCGGTGATTCATCATAGTTACCCATCATAAAATTTATAAATCCAGTTGAAAACGGTTGTGAATTAACTAAGTATTTGTTATTGCTCGCCATAGCACCAAACGAGTGTATCTCGCGCAACATTTAATGTAAATAGCGTCTCTCTGACATCTAACCACTGCCTTGTTTGGGTGAGTAATGCGCACCTTTGTACGATATTTCATTATATGTTGATAAAAAGTGGGGACATATCATATTGAACCATGTACCCAAGACCCGACTGTAACAATACGAGTGTATCTCGCTCAAAATTTAAGGTAAATAGCGTCTCTCTGACACCTAAGCACTGCCTACCTACATGTCACAAACGTGTTTGGGTGACTACTAGCTCCTCTGTGCGATTTTTCGTTAGATGTTGATAAAAAGTGGGAGACATATCATATTGAATCATGTACCCAAGGATAAGGCTTTAACAATGAAGAACATTAAGTTAGGTACATTAAACTAATAGGTAAATAATTAATCCATTCATTCAATTAACCAAAATTAAACATTAACATTTAAAATATAATTTCAATTTTGAAACAGTCATTGCCCAGTGTTAAAAATTATAATAAAATTATACCTAATATTTAGTAATGAACATTTTTTATGCTTATAAAATGATTTAACCAGCGAACGATGGGACAACTGCTAATTTTAAATTAACTCTCCGGGACTTTGTTGGGTCACACAAAACTATAAAAATCCATACTATATATTACTATATTATACTAATTGGAAATTTATCTAGCTTTAAGAGTTCTAACAAGCTAGTAATTATATATGACGTAACCAGGGATGTCAAAAGCACGAGCCACTGCTAATTTTTTTATAGTCTTCGGCTACCAATAGATATTAACAAATAATTAATTGTTAAATTAATAAAAAAAACAGGTAAGTGGATGTCGCTCTGTTGTACAGTAGGTTACAAGTGGGTCACTGTAAAATATGGTTTCAATTTGAATTCAATGATAATATAATGTCAGTGGCTGATTTAACGGTCATTAATTAGTCGGTAATATTACAGGGCCCGCTCATAAATTGTCTACTGAGGTCTGACGGTGTCCTTAGATGATTCTACACAGATACACGTACCTACACAATAAAATTATTTATTTATTAAAAAAAAAATAAAAAATGTAAACGTTTTTTGTTTATTTAGGAGAACGATATAGTTAAATTTGGGATAAGTATGTTACTGATACATTGTGGACTTTCCGATTTTATTTGAACCCTTAAATTCGCCAATGTTAATATAATATTATTATCATTGTATACGAAAAACTATTCTGAGCGGAGGCGAGTTGTCAGTTTAGGATATTTCATATTATATTTATATTGTTCTTCCTTATTATTAATACGGTAGTAAGTTGAATTAATATTGTGAAACTACTAAAAATAACTAATAGGTATTGCTATTTGTTTTTAATAGGTAATTTCGTCCAAATTTTAACATAAAATAACTAAAAATGTGCTCTGATGTACTGAAGGTTACAAGTGGGTCACTGTATAATGGATGGTATTAAATTTGCATTCAATGATAAAATATCATTGTATAAGAAAAACGATTGATGGTATGTCAGTCAAGGTCTAAGACATATAATATACATATCTATGGTAATGCTTATAAAAAAAAATTGTGTCCATGTATTTTTAATATTTTTCAACTGATATTGTAACAATACATCAGGAGCCTTGTATTAAATTTTTACACTTTTTGGCCCAACAGATAAAACTTTATTGATATTTATAGAAAAAAACCTAAAAAAATTGAAAACTGAAAATGTCCTTTAAGAGCTCAAAAAGAGTCAAAATATTTTCAAAATTGTATGGTGTATAGAAAATGCTAGTTTAAACATTCAGTGAATTTTTCAAGTATCTACAGTTATTCGTTTTTGAATTACAACAAAATAAGGAAATCGCTACATGAGAAATCCAGTGAATATCCAATGTTGTAAAAATTTGAATTTCAAACGCTCATAAAAATGTAATTTGACTTTCTTATGTCAAATATATAAGACTTATATAGAGGTAAATTTTACGGTTAATTTACTAATAAGGTGGTAAAAATGGTAAAATAGCTAAATGTTAGAGCCATAGTTATTTTTTACTATTACCTACACATTAGTAAATACGATTTGTATTGGGTACTAATGTTGTATAGGTACCTACTTGTTAAATCTAATTCTTTCTAATAATAACAATAATTAACAAAAAGTCTAAAATATGATGATATATATTATCTATTGTTCTGTATTAGACATTAGTAATTAGTACATTTTATGAAATATGAATATTTAATCATTCATATTACAAATTAATAAATAATTTAAATTAAACTAAACTATCAAAATTCACATAACCTTTATTACTAAAGTCAATTACTTAAGTCCAAATATGTATATTTAGACTTAACTTTTGTATTAATAATAATTAATAGTATATTATCAATATCATAATATCTGCTTTCTTGGTATCTGCGATCTGCCTATATAAAATGTTTCCTAATTACATAAGTACTGATATTTAATTTTCTAAAATATAGTAGGGTTGGCAGAATATTGATACTACTTATAGTCTATAACAAACTATATAAACAATAACAAGAATATCAATATTATAAATGATAATATCACTGAATCAGTTGATAAAAAAGATATCTCTTTACAATTCAGACTAGGCATTTTAGATTTCATTTAATTAGAGGGGCCACACAACATTTTTTTGGTAAAAAATAATTTACCGGTAAAAAAAATTGGTAAAATGTACGGTAAATTTAAAGCACTCACATCTCTGGATAGTATACACAATAATTAATAAAGAATAAGATATCTGTATATTCACGGGGTTCTACTATCCTATAATAAGTACGTAGGACGGTGGGTACTTATCATGGACAACTAGATAATGTATTTCAGAAAACCTCTGTTACAAACTTGCACAACAAGAAACAAAGTAATCAGTGATCGACGATCGAAAACATATATTTTCGCGAGTAGGTTTATTATAATACGTTACAGATTCTAGTATAAAGAGTTTCTAAAAAAATAATATATTATTAGATAGGTACAAAAAAATAATATATTCTTTTCTTTCTGTTCATGCACCTACTATAAATTATAATGTTTTAAGTGTTGCTTCTTGTAATTTAAATTAGGTACCTACTTACTTATAATTAATGTGAACTATATATATTAACAACATTTTAAGTACTTGCGTATTTTTACATTTTTAGTGAGTATTTTTGGACATTTCGGGGTATATAAGTGAATAGGTATTTTAATGTTTTTTTGGAGCTATGCATACCTATTATACCTATATGGCTATAAATAATAAAATGCCAAAATTGTTTGATCTATTCTCAATTAATGCTTGTAATCAATTCCGCATTCCCATGTCAGGTTATACAAATAAAAAATGTATTGTTAAGTCGTTTGATCCACAAATGTAATATTTGTATTCGTAAATATTGATAAGCCTAATATTGGTTGTCCGAAATTCAAACATGATAATATAGAATGATATAACTACCTAATTATATTACCGAAAAACGGGGTGAATAGAAACGATGATGGTGTGAATAAGAACTAAATCTAGAAAGTTATTACTTCAACGTCTCCCTGGCCGAATATTGGTGCTATTAATATAAAACCTACACTTAACTGAACTTCTGAACACACAAAATTCAATAAACTCTAAACGCTCCGTTAACGGCTAAAAATTGAAAAACAACAACTGATATTACTATCCTAATAAATGATTACGAAAATCAACAACATAACCTAGAACATAGAATAAGGAAATTCAAATATGTTTTCATAATTAAAATCGAGCTTGTGGAACTGGATGAATTTTTCTTCCGCTTTTGGGGACTTTTTGAGACTTATTTTATTGCATAATTTAGTGACTTTAGCTGAGGGTGGTGTACGTTACTGATTTCCAAGAACTAAGAAGTGGCCGTAGGTTATCTTTAATTAAATAAAGAGTTCGGAGAACTCACCCACACTATAACGATCAGTATCACTACTTACACAGTTATCTATACATATCTCATGAGTCATGAGTCATGACTCACGAAGAATATAGAATATTGCTTAAATCTAACCACTTAAAAATGGTTCGTTTTCAACAGCTCTAATATGAAAACATGTTGAAATGTTATTACTGTGTTTGAGTATCGATTGATAATGGTTGTTTCCCCACATTAGTACACAGACCGACGATAAGTTTTTATATTATGATACGTGCCTCATATTAATATCATAATATGGATTTTCAGGCAAAATAAAATTGTTAGGTATCTAATTGAATAATATAGGGATTTTACAGTTCACAAGGGAAATGTGCATTAAAAAATTAAAATTTTTGGAAAGCCTGGGTGGCATGGCCTCAGTGCCCCCCCCCCCTCCTTGGAACCAAGCCAGGTAGTTGTTCCCAACCCATGGGCCCCGCCGCCGCGGCGTGGAACTGGACAGTGAACTATACAGGGTGTATCTTATTTAATTTGTCTTAAATATAAATAAAATAATATTATTATATATTTTTAATCCATACCTCATAATATGTCTGGTTATAAAAATATAATAATATAAACTTGTTTAGGTACCTAGGTACTTATTTTATGGGTGGTTGTGTTAGGGGGGCTGAATGAGCTTCAGACCCCCCCCCCCAAATATCGGTAGGTAATTGTTTTTTGTATCAGCTTATACCTAAGTCGTAAATCATAGAAGTTTAATATTATTGTTTTAATCATTTTTATTTTCAAGTCCAACAAATAGGGCTAATAGGCTGAATATTTGACTAAATATTGAAAATAATATATAATGACCAGGAAATCAACTCGTATATACCTCTTAATGACCTGGGAATCAACTCAACGATATCAGTACAGGTAAACAGGTAGGTACACTGGAATCAATTCGTACGCAGCCATAATATGAATGTTAGATAGGTAAATAGGTATTTATTCTGTTGTACCTATTTATATTGAGTAGGTACCTAGAACCTACTAGTGTACCTATTTTAATATTTTTAAATTTGATAACCGATTTATAAATATGCAACAAAACAAACAAACATCAAAGTCCGAAGATAAGTAATTG